TTTTTGCGCGAAAATATTCGGCTACAAGGCGCACCCCAATTTTGGCAAAAACTTCCCAAGAAAAAACAGATTTTCCTCGAAAAAACCGTGCGCCTTATTACTGAGAAACTACGGTAATGCAAGCATACATGTACGCTCAAAGGAAAGGATTACATTTTCCCCCTTCTTTGTGATTAGTCATCAAATTGCTCATGTCGAAACAGACCACAGTTTAAGCACAAGGGTTTGTATCATTGCTACGTGTATGCTTGCACTTAAGGTTGTGCAGGTGGGAACCGGGTTTTAGCCAATAAACATTTAAAAGATCTCACTATAAAAAAGATAAAAGTCTGGACATCTGTAACCAGCTTGACTATGTGACCATTTAATGAAATTGTTTAACAGTACTTTTACCATCCTGTGTTGATTTTCACGTAGAGGGTTGTTCGAAAAGTAGATAATGCTATCCACCGGATAAATCACCATCCAGTGGATAGCATGGTTTGTTTTATTAACACTCATCCACTGGATAGTTACACTGTACTTATCCGGTGGACTGCGTTGTCAAGCCTTCGAACAACTGAGTCCATGTCTCTACTTTCACTGTGTTAGTCTCTTGTGGGGTTACAGTTCAGTTTTCACTCTATAACTTATCACTCCTCTTAATGGGTAAACAGTCAAAGAGTTGTCGGTTAAGCTTACATTTTAGCTACCAAGAAATGACAGGGAAGCAGTGCTCTTTGAATAACCGACTGAGTTTGTGTTTTAGCCTGCTTTGTGCGAAGAAATCTGCTTGATCTCAGCGTCCACAACAGTCCAAAAAAATTTTTACCACCAGCTAATAGACGCCAATTCCTTCAGCAAAATAAAGCCAAATAGTTATCTCTATGTACTAAGAATCCAAAAACAGAATGATTTGAAACGGATTTTAAAAAGTAAAAATACGTCCGACCTCTTACCTCCCTATGCCTTTTATCCCAGCAGAACCCCGACTAAGACACTGTAGTCTTAGACGTTCTACAGGGTCTCTGGCTTGCTTGGAATTGAGCATCTTTTTACACTTTTGTCTCATTTCTGTATCAGATCTTGATGTTGCAGCCATGTTGTTGTCTATTGTCTGTAACAAATATGGCGCCCTTCGCGAGTCACGAAGATTCTTATTTTTCTGTTACCCTGACAACGACCGCGTGGTACCCAGTTTACTCACTGAACTGGAACCGTGGGCTCAAATTGTCGAGTCACTGTTTTTCCGGAAGATTTTTAAAAATAATAATTATTTCCGTGTTTCAATAGTAACAGAAGTAGAAATATTCCATTTATACTTGTTAGTTTTACGCTAGATTATATTATTTATTATGAAAAGTTATGAGAGAAACTTCTAGGATTTTTCTGTTCTCGGAATTATTCACGCATCAAGTGGAATAACATGGAATAAAATGAAACAGCTGCTGCTGAGGAAACTATGAAAAGCGAAGAATCCAACAGACAACAAATAAATGTGTTTTGTCCTATACAGAACACATTCGGTTTTTATAAGGACATCGTTTTTCCGGCTGAGGCTAAATATTCATATTTTCCCGCCGATTTTAGGCTAAAAATATTCTTATTCTATCGAATGTATTCAGCTAATTAGTAATTTTGTAGCCAGCCTGAAGGCGTTAAAGCCTGATGTTACGCACATAATTGCAGTAATGTTATTAGCGCTGAAAATACGGCTAGCGCTGCTTTTCTTGTTTTTGGCTAGTTTTGCCGTTTAGAAATAGTTTTATGCGGTTTAGTTAAAAACATATAACTGTACTGTATTTACAAATTTTCAACCCACAAAATTATATTCTTTCAAAATCCCAGCCTCAAGTTTAATATAGATACTCTTAAATATTCTATATATTCTTATATAAAAAAAAGAGTGCACAGCTCGAATACCGCCTTTTGGTACTGTAAGATTCAACTATGCTATGGTGATGCCAAACAAGATTTCAGACCTTGGCCTTGATAATTCTCGGTGTCACGTTCAGCCAAATTGAATAATTTATCATCTATACGGCTAGCCCAGGATGCTGGATGGCCTAGATAAAACCGGTAAAACCGTGTACACCATACTAATTATGGGAAATAGATTTGCTATTGAGGCCAAAAATGAAGGGATAATTCTCATTCGGTGGTACGGCCACTCACAGAGGTCCGCACAAACCATCTGTGAACTTATTATTCCTTTTTCAGCGACCAACATGCTTATTTACTTATTTTCCAATTAACCTGATAATCTTGATAGCCAGCCTAAAGAATCAAATCGCTGTACTCGGGCTTTTTCTATACCGCGCTAGTTCGGTTGCGACGGGCAGGCTTAACCATCCGATATGCGATCTTGTAAGTTAAATGTTTGTAGGTCTTTAATTTGTTGCGGCCAGTCTAACGGATTCAAGCAAGTGATAATGTACTGAAATTTGACGAAATTATACGATGACCTTACCTTCCCAGTCCAAGTATTCCGTTGGCACCTCGAGCTAAACATTTCATCCGTAGTGCTTCTTTAGGATCTTGGATCTTTGACATGGTTTCTTTTGCTGCTTTGCGCTTCAGTTCATGATTTCCTCGGTCTGTAATCATTATTGAGGAGTTTGAAAACTACCGATGTTGGCAATGACCATCAAACTGTCTGATTATTAATCCTTTCTGCGAAGGTAACTCGAACTAGGGCTACTAGAGGCGTATATATGTTCTTGATTCTTGCGATCAATGGATCAATGCTATTGAAACTATTTTGAATCACCCTGGAGACAAATACTCGTCCATTCCATAATTCATAACACGCACGTAGAAGTCAAGGAACTATAGGAACATAAGAATGTAACACCAGGTGTGAAAAACAATGAAGACATATTTGAGAAGAAAAAAAGCTTGCATACAAAATGAATATTTTGTTTTTCTCGGTTCTTTTAATCATCGAAATGAATACCATGTCCCTGGTTCTGCGATGATGTGAACCCAGTATTTCCCACATTAATCGTCGAACGCAAAACAAAAAGCGGTTTCGACTGAAGATGTTTGGGGGAGTGTTGTGTCGATTGACGTGCTAGCTTAGGTAGTTTTTGTTACGTCAACCTGTTTTGGCAATATCAGAAATTAAATGATTAGGAGTTTTATTTTTCCCTTCCTTGGACTGCACTCTTGTTCATCAGTGTTGTCAGGTTCTCGTTCAACAGAACTATTTTTACACCTTAGTGAATAAAGGTACTTCGGAATTAGTAGTCTTGCCTTGGTCAAGAACGCAATACAGCGTCCTCTGCCTTGGCTTGAATTCTTTTTATTGTATGTTAATATTTTTTGACACTTTGTATAGTATTTTGATTTGTATCATGAGAATTAAAAATATTGCTGTTGTTATCGAAGCTGGCGGACCAGTCGATGTACAGGGCATGTGCACTAACCATTAGGCCACCAACAGCGTATGTGCTGTAGCATTTAAACAGATACAACAAGTAAAATGAAAAAATACTTTATTGAAAACTGTTATGTGCTCTATTTACAATAATATGACAAAATTAGTTGACATAATTCTGGCACCTTCCGTTATTCAAGATAAAATTTACAAAAATAGTTCTTCTGAGGACAACCTTTTTTACAAGAACATTGAGTGATAAGAAAAATAAGAAATATATATAATATTGCTTGATAAAAAAATAGACATATTTTTCTGCGCGAACTCAACTAGCAATTAAAAATTTCCAAAATGCATTTCAACATCATCTGAAATAACGATTTGAGTAATGATTGGATGAAGCCTAACCACGTGACCTCCTATCCCACTCAACGGTGATCACGTGCGATTCTTTTGGAGAGCATAAAGAACGTCGTCTTGATTGACATTCAAACGAATTCTCTGCTCCAGGTCGCGACGGCCAGACTCTACTAAAAGTAGCTTCCAGGCTCCTAAACGACAACAAACAGCCGCGGCTTGTGATGGTGTAGGGGACGAAAGGCCTGGTGAAAAAGGAAGCAAATATGACA